CACTTGGGCCAAACACATCATTAACCCACTCTTTGAAAATTTGCCTTGTGACCCATGCTTTATGATTAGCTTTCCACATCACACACAATCTATTCTTCATGACATTGTTTTTCTTAAACACACTGGGATTTTCTGAGTGATACACGAGTAAAGGCTTCACTTCGAAATCCCCACTAGCATTACCACACAACAAAAGAATAAGCCTGTCTTTCATAGGCTTGACCTGGCAGTGCCTTTTCCTCCTGGGTAATGTAGGTCCTGTTTGGCATTTTCTTCCAAAACAGGCCTGTTTCGTCACAATTGAACAGCTGTTGGGGTTCGAATCCTTCAGCCTTTACGTAGTCCTGGAATTTGTGAACATACTTTTTCAGCCGCACATTTGTCAGAACTTGCAGCCTCACCATGCCTTACAACACTGTGTATGCCACTACGCTTCTTAAATTTATCAAACCATCCTTTGCTGGCCCTAAATTCACAAACTGCAGCACTTGTTCCAGGCATTTTCTTTGCAAGATCCTCATGCAACTACTTTGCTTTCTTACAAATGATTGACTCCACTAATTCTTTTTCCTTAATCCACAATAATAATAACTCATTTTGCAACATTAGCGTCTTTGATTTGTTCTTTCTTTGCCAGGATGGATGTAATTGTTGATTTATTCCTACTGTACATCCTGGCAAGTTCCACCACCTTCATACCACTCTCAAACTTTTCTATCACTTCACACTTAAATTCCATGGTGTTTCTCACTTTCTTTACCACAAGAACTTTACTAGGAACTTTCTTTGGAGCCATGGTTACTTATTTCACAGTTGCACTACAAGAAGAACCACTGAAAATAATGGTAAACAAGCGAAATGTTTGGATGTATGAGCAGAAGCTTCCTCAGCCACCGAGAGACAAAGTCAAACTGAAGTGCAAGCTGCCCCAGCCAGCGGATGGACGCATCCAAAACGGCCGATAACCGGGCGCCGAAAACCCTGCCGATAACCAAACCGGCCGATAACCGGGGGTCCACTGTACTAGAGAAGTGGCAGTTTTGTAGATAACACTACATTGTCACCTCAAACCCAGTTCTAGCCACTCTTAAATATATTACCTAATGACCTCTTAAGAAATATTCACCTTTCTTGACAACCAGCAAGCTTTCACTCAACACAGTATTATTATTTTTATTTTATTATATTATCACACCGGCCGATTCCCACCAAGGCAGGGTGGCCCGAAAAAGAAAAACTTTCACCATCATTCACTCCATCACTGTCTTGCCAGAAGGGTGCTTTACACTACAGTTTTTAAACTGCAACATTAACACCCCTCCTTCAGAGTGCAGGCACTGTACTTCCCATCTCCAGGACTCAAGTCCGGCCCGCCGGTTTCCCTGAATCCCTTCATAAATGTTACCTTGCTCACACTCCAACAGCACGTCAAGTATTAAAAACCATTTGTCTCCATTCACTCCTATCAAACACGCTCACGCATGCCTGCTGGAAGTCCAAGCCCCTCGCACACAAAACCTCCTTTACCCCTCCCTCCAACCCTTCCTAGGCCGACCCCTACCCCGCCTTCCTTCCACTACAGACTGATACACTCTTGAAGTCATTCTGTTTCGCTCCATTCTCTCTACATGTCCGAACCACCTCAACAACCCTTCCTCAGCCCTCTGGACAACAGTTTTGGTAATCCCGCACCTCCTCCTAACTTCCAAACTACGAATTCTGCATTATATTCACACCACACATTGCCCTCAGACATGACATCTCCACTGCCTCCAGCCTTCTCCTCGCTGCAACATTCATCACCCACGCTTCACACCCATATAAGAGCGTTGGTAAAACTATACTCTCATACATTCCCCTCTTTGCCTCCAAGGACAAAGTTCTTTGTCTCCACAGACTCCTAAGTGCACCACTCACTCTTTTTCCCTCATCAATTCTATGATTCACCTCATCTTTCATAGACCCATCCGCTGACACGTCCACTCCCAAATATCTGAATACATTCACCTCCTCCATACTCTCTCCCTCCAATCTGATATTCAATCTTTCATCACCTAATCTTTTGTTATCCTCATAACCTTACTCTTTCCTGTATTCACCTTTAATTTTCTTCTTTTGCACACCCTACCAAATTCATCCACCAATCTCTGCAACTTCTCTTCAGAATCTCCCAAGAGCACAGTGTCATCAGCAAAGAGCAGCTGTGACAACTCCCACTTTGTGTGTGATTCTTTATCTTTTAACTCCACGCCTCTTGCCAAGACCCTCGCATTTTACTTCTCTTACAACCCCATCTATAAATATATTAAACAACCACGGTGACATCACACATCCTTGTCTAAGGCCTACTTTTACTGGGAAAAAATTTCCTTCTTTCCTACATACTCTAACTTGAGCCTCACTATCCTCGTAAAAACTCTTCACTGCTTTCAGTAACCTACCTCCTACACCATACACTTGCAACATCTGCCACATTGCCCCCCTATCCACCCTGTCATATGCCTTTTCCAAATCCATAAATGCCACAAAGACCTCTTTAGCCTTATCTAAATACTGTTCACTTATATGTTTCACTGTAAACACTGGTCCACACACCCCCTACCTTTCCTAAAGCCTCCTTGTTCATCTGCTATCCTATTCTCCGTCTTACTCTTAATTCTTTCAATTATAACTCTACCATACACTTTACCAGGTACACTCAACAGACTTATCCCCCTATAATTTTTGCACTCTCTTTTATCCCCTTTGCCTTTATACAAAGGAACTATGCATGCTCTCTGCCAATCCCTAGGTACCTTCCTCTTCCATACATTTATTAAATAATTGCACCAACCACTCCAAAACTATATCCCCACCTGCTTTTAACATTTCTATCTTTATCCCATCAATCCCGGCTGCCTTACCCCCTTTCATTTTGCCTACTGCCTCACGAACTTCCCCCACACTCACAACTGGCTCTTCCTCACTCCTACAAGATGTTATTCCTCCTTGCCCTATACACGAAATCACAGCTTCCCTATCTTCATCAACATTTAACAATTCCTCAAAATATTCCTTCCATCTTCCCAATACCTCTAACTCTCCATTTAATAACTCTCCTCTCCTATTTTTAACTGACAAATCCATTTGTTCTCTAGGCTTTCTTAACTTGTTAATCTCACTCCAAAACTTTTTCTTATTTTCAACAAAATTTGTTGATAACATCTCACCCACTCTCTCATTTGCTCTCTTTTTACATTGCTTCACCACTCTCTTAACTTCTCTCTTTTTCTCCATATACTCTTCCCTCCTTGCATCACTTCTACTTTGTAAAAACTTCTCATATGCTAACTTTTTCTCCCTTACTACTCTCTTTACATCATCATTCCACCAATCGCTCCTCTTCCCTCCTGCACCCACTTTCCTGTAACCACAAACTTCTGCTGAACACTCTAACACTACATTTTTAAACCTACCCCATACCTCTTCGACCCCATTGCCTATGCTCTCATTAGCCCATCTATCCTCCAATAGCTGTTTATATCTTACCCTAACTGCCTCCTCTTTTAGTTTATAAACCTTCACCTCTCTCTTCCCTGATGCTTCTATTCTCCTTGTATCCCATCTACCTTTTACTCTCAGTGTAGCTACAACTAGAAAGTGATCTGATATATCTGTGGCCCCTCTATAAACATGTACATCCTGAAGTCTACTCAACAGTCTTTTATCTACCAATACATAATCCAACAAACTACTGTCATTTCGCCCTACATCATATCGTGTATACTTATTATTATTATTATTATTTATGTTATTATTTTAACACAGCTGTTTCTCATCAAGGTATGGTGACCTGAAAAAGAAGAAACACTTTTATCACCACTCACTCCATCACTGTCTTGCCAGAGGTGTGATGATACTATAGTTCAGAACTGCAAATATCTCCACCTCTCGTTCAGAGTGCAGGCACTATACTTCCCACCCCCAGGACTTTAAAAGTCCAGCTAACCAGTTTCCCTGAATCTCTTCATAAAATTTACCCAACTCACACTCCAACAGCACATCCATTAAGAACCACTTGACTCCAGTCACTCCTGTCTAACATGCTCATGCAAGCCTACTGGATGCTTAAGCCTTGAAAGCTTAAATTCTATTATGCCCCTCTCCCTCCAGCTATTCCTGGGACTCCCCTTCCACTTTCCACCCAAGATTAATGCACCCTCTTCATCAGTCTATCCCAGTCTGTAATGAACAGAAAGGCACAATTACATGACAGGAGCAGTACACAGATAACCCACACATAGGAGAAAGAAACTTACAACGATGTTTCAAGCTGACTTGGACCATTAACTAGTGCAACTAGTCAATGTCCAAGTCAGACCGAAACATCATAAGTTTCTTTCTCCTATGTGTGAGTTACTTGTGTATTATCCAGTCTATCATTTCTACATGTACAAACCACCTTAGCTCACTGAATTATAACCTTGGTCACCACACATTGCCTTTTAATTTCTACACTGAATTCTCTGCATGATATTCACACCACATTGTTATTACTATTGTAATCATGGGATGCTCGTCTTGTCTCATTAATATATTTATTATTCTCTTTGTTACCATCATCTCTATAGTCAGTTTGCCATTTGGGCAGTTTTAATTTTGTATGTATTTTCAGGTTTATTATTAGTTTTGTAAATTGAAATTCAATTCTGTATTTGTAAAGTAGCCAATGTTTACTTTCATGATTTCTTTTGTTTCTACACTGTTAGTATTTGAGTTGAACTTTAGAATTTTAACAACCATTTCAATTTTTTCCTCATTTTCCATCTCCCACCAATGCAGGATGAATTTATAGCTGCAAATGATTTATTATAGTTTTATACTGATGAAAGAACTTTTGTATATATATTTTCCTTGGCTTTACTAATATGTTTTATATTTATTCATATACTTTATGTAGGATATCAGTATTTTTTTAATATGGAAAATAAAATATTAATTATTTATCATAAATTAAACAGTTTATTGGAGAGAGTTCGATCCAATGATCCAGTCTGGAGGGAAAGTGGCACTGCTTTCATCAACTCTGTGACGCGCCTTCTGGAAAGGTTATTAGACTACCGTAATGTGATGCAAGGTGATGAAAACTGCGACAAAAGAATGAGTTGCACTGTTAACCTTCTGGTAAGACAGCTACTGTTCTTGGTGCATAATTGTATATTTTTATTCATTTGAAGTCATTCTGGTTATGCTTTGATGTGTCAGTGCACGTGGTAGTTGTGTGTAAGTAAAGTTTAAGATAATAATAGATTACAGTGAGTAGTATATAAATAGTAAAATATCAATAATATATAAAACTAATAGAAAGTGATATGGTATGAAAATGATACAGTACAGGTCTGCCATCACTAATCTGGCAATCACTAATCCAGCACTGATTTCAGCTAGCCTAATTTCAAATTTCCAGGGTTGCCACACCAACCTGTTGCTACTGTTTGGTGGTGCTACTTGCTGCATAAGTCATTCCAGTTTGTTTTTCTCCATTTATTGTTATAACCAGCTCACTCTTAGCCCTATTCATGACTCCAACAAATACGTAAAGGAAATGCTTTTCGTTGTGTAAAGCACAAATGCCGTACATTGTCCATAAAAGATAAGGTAGCTTTGAATTATTATTATTATTATAATCAAGGGGGAAGCGCTAAACCCGGAGGATTATACAGCGCCTGGGGGATGTGGAAGGCATTCAGGCTTAATTCGGGGAACTGGAGTACAGATCCAATTCCCTAAATCAAGAGCCCCTCACCAACAAGGTAGCTTTGAAGCCACTGTTGGTCCCATAGTATGACGCCATCAGCTCAGCTCACTCAGATAAGCTGTGACCGGTAAATTTGGCCCTACATGAGAGAATAGTTCTCTGTGGTAAGTGTGCACTATATAAAAAAAAATCCTGCAGCACACAATGCATGAGAAAAAAACTGTGACCATGTTTTTGGTTTAAGACAGTGACTTTGCGGTGTATTTTCGTATGGTTTTTATGGTTGTATTCTCAGTTTTTTTTATCTCATTTGATAGAATAAAATAAAATTCAAAATGGAAAGCAAGTGTAATATAAGAGGCCTGGAGAGGTGACTATTGAACAGAGAAAATGTTATTTTAGTGCCAAGAATGTCTGCACTGTTTATTCTGGACCCTATTTTGAAATTGGCATCTCTTGAAATTTGTGTGAAATTGGCCTAATTACCGATTTCTGACCACTTTATTGCGTAGTTGAGGTAGGTAAATGGGTGGTTTCTTTTACTGAATCGACAGAATAAAGGGAATACTAGCGAAATAGCTATGAGTCTGGTCAACTGGAACAATGGAATGGGCCAAAAATAGGGCGTAAAGTGGGCAAAATTGCCAGTGCGTAAATATCGCCAATGGGTTAAGTGTATTCTAACTTAACCACCCTGTGATTCAGCAAAATCACTAATCTGGCACTTACAGGTCCCGATGATGCCAGATTAGTGATGGTTAACTTGTATATATGTTAATAAAAGTTGTTTTATACAAAATAGGAAAATTTTATAGTCATAATTAATACAGTGGACCCCCGGCACACGATGGCATCGGCATACGTTAAATCTGGCGTACGATACATTTTAACACAAAAATTTTGCCTCACCTCACGCTAAAAAACTCACCTCACGCGATTTGTCTGAGCGTGCCTCAGCTGCCCCGTGGGTGCCAGTGTTTACATGCTAGCCAGTGCGGTCGCATCCACGCATACAATCGAACATTTCACATTATCACAGCGTTTTTAGTGACTGTACCTGCAAAATAAGTCACCATGGGCCCCAAGAAAGCTTCTAGTGCCAACCGTGCGATGTTGCTGCACCACAGTCAGCTGTTGCTGAAGCATGGTCAACTGCTGCTGCACCACCGTCAGCTGCTGCTGCACCATGATCAGCTGCTGCTGCACCACAGTCAGCTGCTGCTGCACCACCGTCAGCAGTTGCTGCACTACAGTCAGCTGTTGCTGCACCAAAGTCAGCTGTTGCTGAACCATGGTCAGCTGTTGCTGCACCAGTCAGCTGTTGCTGAACCATGGTCAGCTGCTGCTGCACCATGTTCAGCTGCTGCTGCACCACCATCAGCTGTTTCTGACCAACATGACTCGTCCCGAACCTGTCGAACCAGCCCTGCTGTCATTGTTTACAAGCCAGGGTGGCTGCTTGCATGCATACATTCGATACACTTTGTATTATTCTATTGTTTATAGTGCTTGTAACTGCTAAATAAGCCACCATGGGCCCAAAGAAAGCTTCTAGTGCCAACCCTGTGGTAAAAAGGATGAGAAATGTGTACTATCGTACCACGGACAGCTGCTGCTGCACCACTGTCAACTGTTGCTGCACCACAGTCGGCTGTTGCTGCACCACAGTCGGCTGTTGCTGCACCACAATCAGCTGTTGCTGCACCACGGTCAGCTGTTGCTGCACCACGGTCAGCTGTTGTTGCACCAGTCAGCTGTTGCTGAACCACGGTCAGCTGCTGTTGCTCCACGGTCAGCTGCTGCTGCAACACGGTCAGCTGCTGCTGCACCACGGTCAGCTGCTGTTGCACCACGGTCAGCTGCTGCTGCACCATGGTCAGCTGCTGCTGCACCATGGTCAGCTGGTCCTAGTGGCATTAAAAGAAGAAGTGAAGTAACCCTGGAAAAGGACGTGCTACCTAAAGTCTTAATGGAAGTGATTCCCCTTCTAAACATTAACAACTTCCATACTCTCCCCTCCTCCCATCCCATCAATCATCACCAGATCTTCAATAAAGGTAAGTGTCAGTTTGTTTGTATTAAAATTAATATTACGTGTGGTAAGTTTTTTTTTTTTCATACTTTGTGGTGTCTTGCACAGATTAATTTGATTTCCATTATTTCTTATGGGGAAAATTAATTTGCCTTACGATAATTTTGGCATACGATGAGCTCTCAGGAACGGATTAATATCGTATGCCGGGGATCCACTGTATACTCCATGGGAAAATGGAGAAGAATTCTTTCTTCATAAGCTGTGAATGTTGTAAGAGGTGACTAAATGCTGGGTTCAAGGAGCTAGTTTCCCCTTCTCCTGTATACGTTATATTTAAAAAGAATAACTTAATTTTTCTTTTTAAATTTAGTAATTTAGGATGACCTAAAAAGAAAAATTTTAGTTTTTCTTTTTAGGTCACCCTGCCTTGGTGGGATATGGCTGGTTCGATTGAAAAAACAAATTACCATACACATTTTAAGTTTTATTGTACAATGTAATATGTAACTATAGGACTCGAGTTCTAGAGGTGGGAAGTACAATGTCTTCTCCTTAAAGTAGGGATATGGATGTTGCTGTGTGGAGGGCCATCTGAACTGTGACATCAGCACTCCTCTGACATGACAGTGACTGAATGAATGATGACAAATGTGCTTCCTTGCATATTTTTATTCATTTGAAATTATTCTGGTTATGATTTTTTTTATTTGTTAGTGCATGGGTAGTAGTGTGTAAGTAAAGTTTGAAATAAAAATAGATGACAGTGAGAAGAAAAACAAAAGTGTGTATGAATAGTGGAATATCAGTAAGACATGAAACAAATAGAAAGAAGTACAGTGGAACCTCAAAAATCGAACGTATCACATATTCGAACGTTTCGAAAATAGGACCATTTTTTCGGACAGACTGTGTCCCTATTATCGAATGCGCCCCTATTTTCGGAACGCCGGGTACGGGACCTGTCTGCCGCCCGCTCTGTCCGCGTCCCCACGCAGGCACCGTGAGCAGCCTAGCTTTGTTTATGCTTGAGTGAACACTAACCTGCGCTCTCATTCACGCATTTTACGATTATTTTGTTGTGTTTAGTGCTTGTGGGACTGTGAAATAAGCTGCCATGGACCCAAAGAAACTTGCTAGCAGTACCCCTGTGGTAAAGAAAGTGAGAAATGCCATAGATGTGAAGAAGGAAATAATACAGAAGTACGAGAGTGGTGTGAGACTTCTTGAGCTTGCCAGGATGTATGGGAAAAACAAGTCGACAATCGGTTCTATCCTGTCAAAGAAAGAACAAATCAAGGAAGCTGATGTTGCGAAAGGTGTTAATATAGGGAGTGGATGAGGTGCCTTCTTCAAAGATTAAGGAGATTTGTGCCAAGTGGAATGATGTCCAAATGTTTGTGCAGAAGTACCACCCTGAGCAAGCTGAAACAAGCCATCTTTGCAACAAGTTCAGTGACAGAACCATGTCCCATTTTAGGGAAATGTTAAAGAGGCACCAGAAACAGAGGACTGTGGACAGTTATCTTGTGAGACAGGGGTCCAGTGACTCTCAAGCTGGTCCTAGTGGCATTAAAAGACAGAGAAGGGAAGTAACCCCAGAGAGGGCTTTACCTGAAGTCCTCATGGAGGGGGATTCTTCTTCCAAACACTAACCCCAACTCCCTCTCTCCTCCTCCCTATCTTCCAGATGCCATCACCAATCTTCAATAAAGGTAAGTAAAAATGTTGTTTTATATGTATTACTATACATAATTAAAAACTATAGTATTTGTTGTATGTAAAACTGTAATTAATCTCTATAAAATGTATTTTTTGTGTGAATATTTTGGGGTTTCTGGAAGGGATTAATTGTATTTCCATTATTTCTTATGGGAAATATTGCTTCGAATTTCAGACTTTTCAAATTTAGAACTAGCTCCTGGAACGGATTAAGTTCGATTTTTGAGCTTCCACTGTAATGTAAAGTGATAAAAGATGTAGAAGAGGTAGGGTTGAGGCTTAGGAATGCACAGGGTTGGAAACTTAGCACACAAGACTTTTATCTCCTGATGTTTAAGTGAAGATGCATCAATCATCCACATCATTAGCTACATAAATTCTACTCCAAACACATTTCTAGCCTTGTATAGGTCTCAGTATGTGACCTTTCCTTGGTAATTTGCATAGATCATTATAAATGCCTCATACAATGTATGTTATGGAACCTGCTTATCCAGAATCCCATTAGCATTCATACTCGTGTACTTATTATCAAGACAGTACAGTGGTACCCCGAGTTTCGGACATAATTCGTTCCAGAAGGCTGTTCAAATGCCATTACTGAATTAATTTATTCCCATAAGGAATAATGTAAATTAAATTAGTCCATTTCAGACCCCCAAAAATACACTTACAAAAGCACATACAATAATATATACTTACATAATTGTTCGAGTTGGGAACTGTACGAAACTCTGGGTACTACTGTATTTCTACTGTTTCCCCTAACATTTATTTTAACTAAAACTGTCAGTACAGTTTTGTGCTTAGATTGGCCAAAATGTACTGCATAACCAGGGATTTTTCAAAATCTGTGAAATATGTGGACTAATTTTGTAATTGTGTTAATTTTGAAAAAACAAAAATCGTTTCTTTATGCCACCCATGGTTCAGTCACAAATGAAGGATCTGAGTTTGATCCCGGGACAGGTGGAGATGATGGCATATTTCCTTGCACATTTTACCCCTGTTCATTTAGCAGTACAGTGGTAGCTAGGTGTAAGCTAACTGTTGTGGGCGGCATCCTGGATGGAAGGGAAGGGACAGTGGATTTGGAGATGAGCTGAGGTACGATAACTGGTATTAGCCTGTAAATTTAATGGTGCAGAATGAAAAAGTTACATTTGAAAAGAAATTAATGTAGCAGTAAAAGCCTTAGTTATTAAGAACAACAGTGATGATGTACTATCCATCTTCACACTATGCTGGTTATGCATGCAAATTTGAACAGTTTCTGAGCTTGCTCAGGCACTGCTCTGCAAGGTGGGCTGTGTGCTTATTTTGGTTTAAATATATCTTTCATAGATTTATGTCACTGCTTATTTGTGGTTAAATATACGTTTTTTATAGGTTTATGTCACCTCACCTTAACTAAAGAAACAAGTGATTTTATAATTGTTGGGGATTTTAAGAAATTGACACTGAAAATTGCATAGGAGAAGATATGGTGTAAAATAAAGAAAGTTTGAGGTATAAAATTGAAAATCAGGATAACAATAGAGATGGCTCATTTATTTAGATACACTGTGGAATGTTAGCATGACTTGAGTCCTGGAGGTGGAAAGTACAATGCCTGCACTTTAAAGGAGGGGTTTGGGATATTTACTGTTTGGAGTGATAGCTGAACTGTCATATCTGCACACCTCTGCATAGACAGTGACTGTGTGGATGATGGTGATTTTTTTTTTTTTTTGGGGGGGGGGGGTCACCCTGCCTTGGTGGGAGATGGCCAGTGTGTTAAGAAAAAAAAATGTAATAGTGATATGGAAACAAGTAATGCAAAAGTTTCTGGTAAAAATTTAGACTGAGGAATGAATTGCGAGTCTGGTTAAGAAATATATGTATACATGGGGCTTCAATAGGAAATGAAAGCTATTAAATTTTGCATTAATGATTTAAATAATGTATTAGGCTGTTACAGTATATAATTTCTTCTCTTCCAGAACTTCTACAAAAATGAGGTAAACCGGCAAGAAATGTACATCCGGTACATTTACAAGTTGCATGACCTACACGTCCCAGCAGGAAATTTCACCGAGGCAGCATTTACTCTTCAGCTTCATGCTAATCAGCTAGCTTGGACACAGAGGATGTTACATGCAGATCACTTATATCCAGCACAGACTGAAACTCAGAGAAAGGAGCTGATCTACATGAAAATAATTGATAATTTTGATAAGGGCAAGGTATGAAAATGATACAGTATTTGTTAAAAGGTGTTTTATATGGGATAGAAAAATTTTATACAGATGAACAAGGAGGCTTGAGAATGAGTAGGGGATGTGTAGATTGTGTTTACATTCAAGCATATAAGTGAACAATATTTAGATAAAGGTATGGAAGTTATCATTGCTTTTATAGATTTAGATAAGGCATATGATAGGATTGTAGGTAGTAGGTTGGTAGACAGCAACTGCCCAGGGAGGTATTACCATCCTGCCAAGTGAGTGTAAAATGGAAGCCTGTACTTGTTTTACATGATGGTAGGATTCCTGGTGTCTTTTCTCTGTCTCATAAACATGCAAGATTTCAGGTATGAATTGCTACTTCTACTTACACTTGGGTCACACTACACATACATGTACAAACATATATATATACACACCCCTCTGGGTTTTCTTCTATTTTCTTACTAGTTTCTGTTCTTGTTTTTCCTCTTATCTCCATGGGGAAGGGAACAGAATTCATCCTCTGTAAGCCATGCGTGTCATAAGAGGCGACTAAAATGCTGGGAGCAAGGGGCTAGTAACCCCCTTCTCCTGTGTAAATTACTAAATTTAAAAAGAGAAACTTTTCTTTTTGGGCTACCCTGCCTTGGTGGGATACGGCCAGTTTGTTGAAAGAAGAAGATATGATAGGGTGGATAGGGAAGCACTTTGGCAGATGTTGCAAGTGTATGGAATAGGTAGTAGGTTACCAAATGCTGTAAGAGTTATGAGGATAGCGAGGCTCAGGTTAGGGTTTGTTTGAGAGAGGGAGCTTACTTCTCAGTAAAAATAAACCTTAGACTAGGATGTGTAATGTCACCATGGTTGTTTAACATATTTATAGATGGAGTTGTAAAATAAGTAAGTGCTAGGGTATTGGGGAGAGGGGTGGGTTTAAATTATGGGGAATCAATACAGAATGGGAGTTGACACAGTTACTGTTTTGCTGATGATACTGTGCTTTTGGGAGATTTTAAAGAGAGGTTGCAAAGGTTAGTGAACAAGTTGGGAGGGTGTGTAAAGAAAGTTGAAAGTAAACATAGATAAGAGGCTATTAAACGAGTTAGGTAATGAAAAATTGGATATCACATTGGAGGGAGGGAATATGGAAGAAGTGAATGTGTTCAGATATTTAGGAGTAGATGTGTCATTGGATGGATTTATGAAGGATGAGGTAAACCACAGAATTGAGGAAGGGAAAATGGTGGGTGGTGCATTGAGGTATCTGTTGAGACAAAGAACATTATCTATGTAGGCAAAGAGGGGAATGTATGAGTGTATAGTGGTACCAACACTTATGTGGGTGTGAAGCATGGGTTGTGATTGCTGCAGTGTGAAGGTGGCTGAGGGCAGTGTGTGGTGTAAATATTATGCAGAGAATTTATAATGTGGAAATTAGGAGGCAGTGTGGAGTTACTAAAGTATTATTTAGAGAATGAGGAAGGGTTGTTGAAGTGGTTTGGTCATTTAGAGAGGATGGAGCAAAATAGGATGACTTGGAGGCTGTATAAATCTGTAGTGGAGGGGAGGAGGGTTAGAGGTCATCCTAGATAAGATGGAAGGAGGGGGGTAATGGAGGTTTTGTGAGCAGATGGCCAGGACGTGCAGTAGGCATGTATGTGCTTGTTAGATTGGAGTGAATGGAGGCGAATGAGCTGTTGGAGTGTGAGCGGGTTAATATTTTGTGAAGGGATTCAAGGAAACCAGTTAGCTGGACTCGAGTCCTGGAGGTGGGAAGTACATTGCCTACACTTTAAAGAAGGGGTTTTGGGATATTGGCTGTTTGGAGTAACATCTGAACTGTCGTATCTGAGCACCTCATCAAAGACAGTGATTGTATGTGAATGATGGGGAAAGTGTTTTTCTTTTTTGGGTCACTCTGCCTTGGTGGGAGACGGCCGATGTGTTGGAAAAAATTAACTTTAAATTCTCAGAAAATATTTATGTATATTTGTGTGTATGGAAAAAAACTTTTTGTTCTAGCATTGCCACAAAGAAATCCAACCTAACCTAGAATTTGAGGTAAATACTAGGTTAACTTAGTTTTTTCATTTGGTTACAAAAGTAGTTTTTTCTATATAGACCTGACATATAATTGTCTCCATTACATATTTATTGTTGAAGAATTTGCATACTAAAAAAATGGGTAGCTATAGTAAATCTTAAATAAAATGAAAAAACTTATTTTTTTAACAATTTATGCATAAAAACTATGTCTATTGCTATGCCCATTTTATGTACATCATAAATTATAAATTGTCACCTAGTTCTGCTGAGCAGCTGAAGTACGTAAATATTGATGCAGTTTTGATAGCAAGATACTGATTTCTGTAAAAAAGATGCTTTTGTATTGAATTTATCGAAAATCTAATGTGGTTGATAAATACAGCCTCTCCTCACTTAATGACAGAGTTCAGTTCCTAAGACGACATTGGTAAATGAATTCGTTGCTAAACAAGGAGCATGCTGTAATGGTAGTGGGTTTGTGTCAGCTATCTTTGATATTGTTTTAAAGTCACCTTTGCTCCATTTTTAGTATATTTTTAAATGTTTATACAGTAGTGTACTGTATATTGTAATAAACAGAACAGAGGAAATCAGCTATGATATACATTATTTAGGTATGCACACTTGTCAGAGAGCCCATCGTAAGTCTGATTCGTTGGTAAATGAGTGTGTCACTAAGTGAGGAGAGGCTGTATGTCTGCAGTCATGCTTTATATACAAATATTTTCCTTTCAGTGTTGGGAGCAAGGTATACCACTTCTGGAGGAATTAGCTACACAGTATCGTACACGCTTGTTTGATTATCAGAAACTAAGTGAAGTGTTAAAGAGGCAGGCAACATTCTATGAGAAGATCTTGAGTGGTAAACGCTACGATAATGAGTACTTTCGAGTTGGCTTTTATGGCTTGGGACTTCCTTTGTTCGTTAGGGTAAGTATATTATTATATTATTTTTATATTATCACACCGGCCGATTCCCACCAAGGCAGGGTGGCCCGAAAAAGAAAAACTTTCACCATCATTCACTCCATCACTGTCTTGCCAGAAGGGTGCTTTACACTACAGTTTTTAAACTGCAACATTAACACCCCTCCTTCAGAGTGCAGGCACTGTACTTCCCATCTCCAGGACTCAAGTCCGGCCTGCCGGTTTCCCTGAATCCCTTCATAAATGTTACTTTGCTCACACTCCAACAGCACGTCAAGTATTAAAAACCATTTGTCTCCATTCACTCCTATCAAACACGCTCACGCATGCCTGCTGGAAGTCCAAGCCCCTCGCACACAAAACCTCCTTTACCCTCCCTCCAACCTTCCTAGGCCGACCCCTACCCCGCCTTCCTTCCACTACAGACTGATACACTCTTGAAGTCATTCTGTTTCGCTCCATTCTCTCTACATGTCCGAACCACCTCAACAACCCTTCCTCAGCCCTCTGGACAACAGTTTTGGTAATCCGCACCTCCTCCTAACTTCCAAATACGAATTCTCTGCATTTATATTCACACCACACATTGCCTCAGACATGACATCTCCACTGCCTCCAGCCTTTACTCGCTGCAACTTCATCACCACGCTTCACACCCATATAAGAGCGTTGGTAAAAACTATACTCTCATACATTCCCTCTTGCCTCCAGGACAAGTTCTTTGTCTCCACAGACTCCTAAGTGCACACTACTCCTTTTCCTCATCAATTCTATGATTCACCTCATTTTCATAGACCCATCGCTGACACGTCCCACTCCCAAATATCTGAATACGTTCACCTCCTCCATACTCTCTCCCTCCAATCTGATATTCAATCTTTCATCACCTAATCTTTTTGTTATCCTCATAACCTTACTCTTTCCTGTATTCACCTTTAATTTCCTTCTTTTGCACACCCTACCAAATTCATCCACCAATCTCTGCAACTTCTCTTCAGAATCTCCCAAGAGCACAGTGTCATCAGCAAAGAGCAGCTGTGACAACTCCCACTTTGTGTGTGATTCTTTATCTTTTAACTCCACGCCTCTTGCCAAGACCCTCGCATTTACTTCTCTTACAACCCCATCTATAAATATATTAAACAACCAACGGTGACATCCACATCCTTGTCTAAGGCCTACTTTTACTGGGAAAAAATTTCCCTCTTCCTACATACTCTAACTTGAGCCTCACTATCCTCGTAAAAACTCTCACTGCTTTCAGTAACCTACCTCCTACACCATACACTTGCAACATCTGCCACATTGCCCCCCTATCCACCCTGTCATACGCCTTTTCCAAATCCATAAATGCCACAAACACACCTCTTTAGCCTTATCCAAATACTGTTCACTTATATTGTTTCACTGTAAACACCTGTCCACACACCCCCTACCTTTCCTAAAGCCTCCTTGTTCATCTGCTATCCTATTCTCCGTCTTACTTTAAATTCTTTCAATTATAACTCACCATAACTTTACCAGGTAACTCAACAGACTTACCCCCTAAAATTTTTTTGCATTCTTTTTCCCCCCTTTTCCCTTTATACAAAGGAACTTCATGTCTCGCCAATCCCTAGGACCTTCCCCTTTCCATACATTTATTAAATAATTGCACCAACCACCCCAAAAAACTATATCCCCCCCTGCTTTTAAATTTTTCTTTATCCCATCAACCCCCGGCTGCCTTCCCCCTTTTTCATTTTACCTACTGCCTCACGAACTTCCCCCACATCAAAAGGGTCTTCCCCTCCTACAAGATGTTATTCCCCCCTTGCCCTATACACAAAATCACAGTTCCCTATTTTCATCAACATTTAACAATTCCTCAAAATATTCCTTCCTTTTTCCCCAAATTCCTTAACTCCCCATTTAAAAACTCTCCTCCCCTATTTTTAACTGCAAACCCTTTTGTTTTTGGGCTTTCTTAACTTGTACAGTATTCACAAATAAATAATTTTTTGTATTTCATAAAAAAAAATGAAAAAAAAAGGTCTCAAAAATTTTTTTTGGTGTATACTTTTGAATTCAGTAATTTTTGTTGGTTTTGGTTTCCTTTAATTCCGAAATTCCTTTATAATGGAGAGAGATTTCGTCATGCCTCGATATTTGCCGATCTTTTTTTGCTATTTGGGTTTTTTTAATGGATGGGTTACCTTTGAAAATTTTTATTTTTCCAGAGCACAGAATTTCAGGTAGCTCACAAACAGTAACTTCATTTAAAATTGTTTACAAGGCCATTTTTGTTCAGTTGATTTATTTTTTTTTTTTTTTTTTTTATCAACCGGCCGATTCCCCCCAAAGGCAGGGGGGCCCCGAAAAAAGAAAAACTTTCCCCTCATTCCCCCTCACTGTCTTGCCAAAAGGGTGTTTTACATACGTTTTTAAACTGCAAATTAACCCCCCTCCTTCAGAGTGCAGGCACTGTATTCCCATTCCAGGATCAAGCCCGGCCTGCCGGTTTCCCTGAATCCTTCAAAAAAATGTTAAATTTTGCTAACTCCAACAGCAGTCAAGTTTTAAAAAACCATTTGTCTCCTTTTCATCATAAACCGCTCACGCTGCCCGCGGAGTCCAAACCCCCGCAACAAAACCCCCTTTACCCCTCCCCCCAACCCTTCCTAGGCCCACCCCCACCCGCCTTCCTTCCTACAGATGATACCTCTTGAAGTCATTCTGTTTTGCTCCCTTCTCTCTACATGTCCCCAACCACCCCAACAAAACCCCTTTCCCCAGCCCCCTTGGACAACAGTTTTGGTAACCCGCACCTCCTCCAATTCCAAACTACGAATTTTTTGCATTATATTACACCACACATTGTCTCGCTGAATCTCCCCTGCCCCCGCCCTTTCCTCGCGCAACATTTATCACCCACGCTTCACACCCCTATAAGAGCGGGTTGGAAAAATATACTCTACATTCCCCCCTTTGCCTCCAAGGCAAAGTTCTTTGTCTCCACAGACTTAAGTGCACCTCACTTTTTTCCCTCATCAATTCTATGATTCACTTCTTTCATAGACCCCTCCGCTGACAGTCCCCTCCCAAAAACTGAATACGTTCACCTCCTCCATACCTCTCCCTCCCAAACTGATATTCAATCTTTCATCACCCAATTTTTTGTTATCCTCAAACCTTACTCCTTTCCTGTTTATTTTTATCACCTTTAATTTTCTTCTTTTGCACACCCTACCAAATTCTCCACCAATTCTGCAACTTCTCTTCAGAATCCCCAAGAGCACAGTGTCATCAGCAAAGAGCAGCTGTGACAACTCCCACATTGTGTGTGATTCTTTATCTTTTACTCCACGCCTCTTGCCAAGACCCTCGCATTTACTTCTTTACAACCCATCTATAAATATATTAAACAACCACGGTGACATCACACATCCTTGTCTAAGCCTACTTTACTGGGAAAAATTTCCACTCTTTCCTACATACTCTAACTTGAGCCTCACTATCCTCGTAAAAACTCTTCACTGCTTTCAGTAACCTACCTCCTACACCATACACTTGCAACATCTGCCACATTGCCCCCCTATCCACCCTGTCATACGCCTTTTCCAAATCCATAAATGCCACAAAGACCTCTTTAGCCTTATCTAAATACTGTTCACTTATATGTTTCACTGTAAACACCTGGTCCACACACCCCCTACCTTTCCTAAAGCCTCCTTGTTCATCTGCTATCCTATTCTCCGTCTTGATTTGTGGTCCCTAAATAGTTAACTATGTGTTCACTGCATTTCTCACAATCAGATCTGTTTTCCTGTGGACATACTCTCTCAAGAATGTTAATATTATTAACCTTAGAGCAATATTTAGAGTTATGGCCTCTGAAACAAGATGTTTTCCTCCATGCCCATTTCCAATCTTTCTTTCTTCCTTTCAAACTGAAAATATCTCTACCTCTCCTTCAGAGTGTAGACACTACTTACCCCCTCCAGGAGTCAAGTCTGGCTAACCAGTTTCCCGGAATCTCTTCATAAATGTTACTTTGCTCACACACCAGCACCATGTCAAATCATAAAAACCACATCCACTATAACACTCACACAAGCCTGTTGGATGTCCAAAGTCCTAGCACTCAAAACCTCCTTTATGCCCCTTCCATAAGACGACTCCTACCCTTCCTTTCCTCCACCCCAGATTTATATGCTCTCCTAGTCATCCTGTTTTTCTCTGTCAACAGCCCTTCTGCAACCTCCTGAATAATACTTTTGGTAATGCCACACCCTCTCTTAATCTCCAATTTATAAATTCTTTGCATAATATTTACACCACACATTGCCCTCAAACATGACAATTCTACTGTCTCCAGCCTCCTCCTCACTGCAGCATTCAAAACCCATGCTTTACTCCATACAACAGTGTTGATAACACTATACTCTAATACATTCCCTTTTTACCTCCATAGATCAAACTTATTGTCTTCACAGAAGCCTCGATGCACCACCCACCTTTTTTCCCCTGTACTCAGTTCTGTGGTTCACATAATTTCTAATAGAACCATCTTCTGACAAATCCCGTCCCAAATAATTGAACACATTTACAATGTTTGCACTTTCAGGGAGGGGTTTGGGATATTAGCAGTTTGGAGGGACATCTAAACTTTCATATCTGAGCGCCTATGCAAAGACAGTGATTATGTGTGAGTGATGGTGAAAATGTTGAAAGATAAATGCTTTTCCTTTCTTTTTGGGTTGCCCTGCTTCGGTGGGAAATGGCCGATGTGTTTAAAAAAAAAAAATACATTCTCCATACTCTCTCCCTGGATTCCATCTTATATCCAATCTCTCATTACCTATATTTTTTGATAATCTCATCATCTTGCTCTTTCTTATGTTTATTTTTAATTTCCTTCTTCAACATATTTTTTTTTTTTTTTTTTTAACAAGTCGGCCATCTCCCACCAAGGCAGGGTGACCCAAAAAGAAAGAAAATCCCCCCAAAAAAATATTTTCATC